GTGAAGCGTGTCATTTTAAGTCCAAGGGTAGCATTTTTCCCCAGAAGCTGCTGCTGTGAATCCACAACATGGAGTTAAAGGAGCTCTGAGTGCAAAGGACACAGCAGCACCACATCATCTGTTAAAGATGTTGAGGCAGCTTGATGCCATGAACTAGCATGGCTTCCAAAGACACTGGAACTCTGGATTTTATTGATTATCTGACAGAATGCAGAAGCAGCTCGATGAGTTCTGGGGAGCACAAAGATATACTGCCATATCGAATTCAGCCAAACGCAGTAAAGCTGTGGGGACCAGGCTTCACAATGCAGATGGACTGAAATAATTCCGGAAATCAGTCCAGATGTTCCTCAAGCTACAGAAATTAGATACTGTAAAATATCTAAGTCTATCTTCAGTGCTTAACCTTAGTAAAGCATGTGTTTTATTCATGGAAGGAAAAGGAAAAGATTATATTGCTTGTGTACAGGTTTCCAGACTTCAGGCAATCATTGATTATGAAGTATTCATAATGCTAGTATTATATAGTACTGTTGGCTTTTTGTATAATTTTACATCAACTTTTTTGATGGCCTTTTTGGTGCCCAGAAGAGCTATAAATAGCTTTTGTCCAATATAAAACACTTTTTGGATTTTGCAACAATTCTATATCTCTGTTGCAGTAAACAACTAAAATGACAAAAACTGAGTCAATGAAACTTTTATAAATATATAATATATTGCTGTCATCCCTAAAAAAATCCTATTAGTTATCCTGTTGCACAAAGTGTGGTGGAAAAAGGAGACGGCCTCTAAAATGCTTCCTGAAACACTCACAAAAAAGATCTTATCATAACAGTTAATAACCAAAGGCCTCACTTCAAAATTTCCCATATCCTTCCAAAAGAAGTTTCATTATTCACAGTCAAAACAAAAAAGAAAACGTATTCTGGATCAGGACTTACAGCAGGTATATTTTTCTGACATTTTGAAAGAGTTTTCTTTGAAGAAGTCTCTCCTATGGCACTGATCAATACTGTTGGTCTACTCTCTTGTCAAAGTCTCAGTACTCAGTGTGGACACAGAGCACCTTCCATGGCCAAATCCAGAACACTGATGGACAGCAGTGTGATTTGCACACCGTATTCAGGCAGGCTGGTGTAAGTCATTACAGTGGAGCCGTTACCTCCCACTCACTGATTAGTAATAAACATACATAAAAGTATTGATCAGGTCTTAGAGACATTGTTTTAACCAAATCCTACCTCCTGATTACAGCTATCTGACTACTTTGCTCGTTCTCATTATTGTCAGAGGGGTGAAAAAAACAACACAAACAGACAGATAATGAACCTTACAAGGCCGTCTTTCTGGGCTGTCAATTGTTATCTCCCAAGTGGCTGCTGGTTCCAGACACACAGTGACACTGTCTGAGCCCGTATTAATGCCGCAGCTTACTCACTCTACAGCTGTCATTTATCTTTCACTTACAGCTCAACCTACAAATATAAAGATGGTTCCATGTCAGAAGACTCACAATAAGATGAACGGTAAATGGTTCACATCGACCCGGTGCCTTTTTAAACCTTTGTCCAAGTTCTACAAAACACTTCATATCTTTATCATTCAGCCAATCAGCTGGTCTTATGGAACATGAGCACTGTTTTACTACAATCAAATACCACTGAACATATTCTATGTGGAGTTCAGAATTTTGCTTCCCTTCTGGTTGGAAGATGAAAACTTTACCACAAAAAGCTTTTCCAGGGTTTTCGCTATATGTTTCAGGAGCGTTTGTTTCCCACCCTGGAATTCCCTGATTTTTCTTTTCCTTACAACAGCATGCCTGTTATTATCAGAGAGCCCCCATTACTGACATATTTCATTCTTAATGGTATTTTTTTATGGAATAGTGGAGAATACACTTTGGCAGGGTGTTAAATCCAGCTTTTATCCCATCCCTCTTACTGGATGAAGGTCACACTCTATCTGCAGAATGACTTTTCTCTCTTCCCTTTCATCCCTGCTTTCCCCCTATCCTCCACACCCGGGCATGAGTCAGAGAATCTGACACCCCGGAGCAGAGAGGAGAGGGAGGAGAGCACGGGGGAGAGATGGGAGGCAAATTAAGGAGAAAAAAGAAGGAGAGATAGACAAAGTTGGAGAAAGAGAGATGAGCTGATCGATATCTCCTAGAAGGAAAGGAACCTGAGACGATCTAAACTGGCCATGTCCCCTTGACACAGGAGACCCCGTATCAACCATGGCAATTAAACTCCTCAATGGACAGATGGTGCTGGAGTCCGTCCTCCACGTCAATACTAAATCTCAAATGTACAACGTTCTGTATAAGGCAGTAAAGTTAAGTCATCCCTATCACTGTTAGCTTAGATTAGCAGAGTTGAGGGTGTGTCACTTGATACAAGACATTACCATGCACGCTGACAAAACTACTTATTACATAAGCCCCAAGACAAACTGAGCACAAACCCAAAAATAGTGCAGCCCCTTTTAAATATTTCAGGCACTCAGAGGCTGAAAGGGAATAAAAAAGCTTCTCTTCCCCACTCAGGATACAAAAACACACACGGATGCAGATGGCCGATTGAAGGAAAAACCTCCATCTAGTGCAGAACAAAGCAGATTACTGTCAGCAAGGCAGTGTTTGAGCTTTCCCACTGGTTGTACAGGACTTGCGCACTGGAGATGTGTCTCAAGTAAATGTTTCGTCTTTGGTAATTCTCTCTTAAGAACAGGCAGAAAAAAAGCATCTCTTTGAGGGTAAGTTCTGATCTAAATAAATCATGCTCATGAGACTCTTTGTGAGACACGATGAAAAAGTCACGAGGCCTGCCGGGTCAATGTGCGGAGCTCCACACAGTGCTATCTTTTCATGGCAGGGACAGCCTGAAGCTCTGTCAGCTACAGGGTCTGTCTTCAGACGGGAGTCACACTGTGTTTCAACAGAAAAGATCTCTTCTCATTGATATAAAACAAATTAATTGACTCTGTTCATGCAAGCTGAAATCACAAATCAAGCAGTGTACATGGTTCCCTATACACAGTAAAAACCCAGAAAGTAAACGAACAAAGCTAGGCATGGTGTATCTGAGACTGTTGAGTCCACGATTATTTGATAGTGAAGTGCACAAGTTAATAGCTAAAATGGAGATGAATTATAGAAATGGTTATCATTCAAATATTGTGGACTTTGCCCTAGTAATAATGAAATGGACATTGCCTGGGTCAAAATGATGATATGGTTTTAAATTTTAAAATATTGACCCAAAACAAAGCGGAATCGAATGGTTAAAGGAGAAAAAAGACTGGTTTAAGTATCCAGTGAAACAATACATCCATGGTGTTCCGTCAAATAACATGTCCTTTGTCTAGTAATGTTTGAATTATCCATTAACTCCGCTTGTAAAGTCCTTGTCAGTATAATGTGACAGAATATCTATGATTTCTCTGTAAGACTGAATAAAGCTACTGCGTTGAGCTACAGTTAGACAGTTTTTTCCGTCTTCTTTGACTGTGCGAGAACAGCAACATCTTACTTGATGAGAGGGATTATTGGCAGTTTCCAGACATTGGGAGCAGCACGTGTGAGGCCTGGCTTGTGTTATTTATGAAGCCTCTCAGCCCCAGCCCTCACTCTGCAGCAGGGATGCAGGTGGGGTTTCATTATTGAAGATGCTCTTCCACTCGTTATTAGATCTATGACCCTCAGAGTGCATTAAGGGATTGAATCTGGACAGAGAATCAGCAATACACAATGGCCTAACATTACATTGTCTGGAGTGCTTGTAAAAGATAGGTGCACCTCGTATTGACTGAATGGTATGTTCTATTCACTTTTCAAGTACAGGCTAAGTAGCAGATCTGTTCTTGAGCAAGCTCGCTTTTCACCAAACACACCCCAACTAAGTAAAATTTAGTCCATTATTGATCTCCAATATGCGCTCAGGAGCATAAATCTGATCCGTGATGTGCTCCCCTCCACAGAGAAGCTGCCATGCATCTATGCATTACATTCGGCTGACTTTTCCAAAAGCAGCCATGTGATGCGCAGCATTCTAATTGTGTCCCTTTAGTTTCTGCTGGTACATACCTGACATATCATGCACAATTCATTGGCAATTTCAGCTCAGAAGTGTTCAAATGTTCTTATCAAGTGGTTCATTGTGCTGAAGGCTGAAGGTTGTTTTTCTAGTTGACTGTTGTGCTGCTAAGATGGCCAAAAAACAAACAACTTTTTGTTTTATCTGAGAAAATTGTCAAAACCAGCCTGATCTATTGAAATAGCACAAACAACCAAAAACAAAAGGCTATTTAAGAGGATTTATTGAAGCATCGTCGCGTCTCTGTAGATGTAACCACAATTACAAGTAGCCTACTTAAGTATCGTCCAGGTAAATTACATATGAATGTATTCTGGTTTAAACGAGTGTCTGCTTACGAAAACAGCTCCTCTATCCAGTGGAATAGTGATGTAATTAGGCATCCTGGTGAATAATGGTGCTGTCACACACACTCGCTGCCTCAGCACGGAGCAGGCGCCCACTGTACCCGACTTGTTGAGAACAATCTTTGTGCTCAGCACTGGCCTGGTCTTCAGAGGAGTCCCCTTCTATTACCACAAACCCTTCCACTCACAACAGACCGTTTGTCCCCCTGCTCATCTGGACTCTCTGTTGCCATATGCTGGATTTAACAAACCAGTCAGTTTTAGGCTTCATTAATTCAGATCCACGAACAAAACATTTCATCCTCCACATATCTGTGCGTAAAAAAACGCAAGAGGACGGTACAGAAAGGCTACAATCATTAAAAGATCTGGACCCTGTTTTAACAACAACAAAGGAGATTTCACAAGTTAAACCCGTCACACATCCCAGTTTGATGTCTTTCTGGGAATAAAGAAACACATTCCGCGATCACGAGTGTCATCGAGTCAAATGCCGCGATTTAAGTTGTCCGAATGGTTACACGCAGTCTAAAAAAAAGGCAAAGTGGCTCACCTGTACTCATGTAAGAGGTCTCGGGCTGCAGCTCTGGCTAAACTATCCCCATGGATCTGCGCTGGTCGGGCTTTGTATCCACATATAGTCCGGTGACACGGAGGTGTAGCGCGGACTGTCCTCCCGGTGTGTCAGCAGACTGGAGAGCAGGGCGCCTGTGCGCTGAGGAGGGGAAACACACACAGACACACAACCACACACACACACACACACACACACACACGCGAGAAAACAGGCGGCGACCACCTAGTTCAACCTGGACCCCGATAAACGAAACAGCTCCTGCAGAAAAGCTCCTCGACCGGGTGAAATAATTGGATAAGCTAATTACTATCCTGCAGTATGTCTTATTTATTTTTTTAATTTACAAAATCCTGCACCGGTGAAATGTGGTCTTTCTGCCCATTCAGGACTCCTATGAGCTCAGAGCGCTTCTGCTGTGCATTGCAACGCAGGATGGCACATCCAGACCCAAAGAACCTCTGTAGGGTATAATACTGGCTACTGTGCCAAGACCGGAAAATGCGATTTATTCAGTCCCGATTCTGTCATTTGCTGCATCAGTTGTGGCCGGAAGAGATCATTTTGTGTCAAGGTGAATCAACCGACCCATACAACTGTGTGCAAACTTGCTTCTTCTTGGATTATTAAATCATTTTTGTAAATGTGACAGTAGAATTGACATGTTCCCATATTCACAAGGTTTAAATAGATTTTAATTACAACCATAGTTTCCGGTCAAAACACCAACGACTGTCTCAGTCTCAGGCCATAAATCCACGTACACACAGTGAAAATAATTTTGGAATATCTCATTGCTCTTTAGCGGTTTATTATTTGTGCAGAGGACATTATTTTTGCTCAATCTGGTCCGGTGGTGCAAACGTGAAATCTAATTTCTTCAAGGATGTCTTTTCAAGTTTTTGAGGCATTGCGTAAGTAACTTCCTTTCACGTGGCGCCATCTAGTGCAGCTTTCTTTGTATTGCCTTTCATCTGGAGACTATCCGAAAAGAGAGGGCATGGTCAGAGGAATTTACTTCTCATTCTGGTGTTAGACACATCGGTGTTTGGCAATATTGCATGCATGAGAAACGAAATCAAAGTGACAGAATGACACGAATTAGTTTTCCACTCCAAGCAGAAGTGCACTCATGGTGAATTTTCAATCGTCAACCTGGATGATTCATGTAAAGACACCGAGCCAAGACACTCTGACGGCTCCCGCTGCTCTTGTGAAGCAGAGGGAGCCATCTGGGTAATTTGAGTATGACATCTCCATCTATTCCACAAATGATGCAGGTGCCTCTCATTCATACAAAAAGAATGAGCAGAGGATATAATGGGAGTTATATTTTTTCCAAACAGAAGACATTGAATAATCCCTTTTGACATTTCAACAACTGCCTGTGTGAGCTTGTAGATTTTATTTCACTTGTTGGTTTGATGATGTCTTATCTAGAAACAGAGGCAAGAAAGGAAAAAGAGGCACACACTCAGGGATTTGCCACGGATGCACTCAGTTGGTTGGTTAAGGACATTATGCATATTTCTAACATGTGTGGTGACAGTAAGGACCCCCTGTGCTTTAGCACATCTTAAACCCTCAGATTGTCATCCACTTAGAAAAAAGGGATGCAATTATTCTCCCAGTGTGAGAGCTGAAAACAGGGGGGAGGACCAAGTTGCAGTCACAAATCAGGCAGATAGGAAAATGGTTTTAGTAAATGGGTCATGAGAAAACACACTCATAGGCAAGTGCAAAAGGAAGACACAGACAAGCGCGTTACCCGATAGAAGCAACAAAAACACCGGGAGCAAGAATTCCATTATAAATGGGAACACACCCGGGGAAAGAGCTGCTACGAGAACTGATAAGAGAATTGGACGGTGGGGAAGGAAGACAGGAATAGGGAAAATTTTAGCAGAATGTTGTAAATGTACCCAAGTATAGACGTTCAAGTTGCTCGTTCTTGAGTGCTTTCTTATCATACCCATTTCTTTGTTAATCCAATGCATCTCTGTGAGAAAACATTCAGGTCACTACATTTATCTTATGCTATCGGTTCCAGGTTGTTTTATACACTCAACATTTTTCACCCGAAAGTGTCATGTCTTGTTGGAATTCTGTCAACAGATGACTTCATATTTTTTCAGTTGTTCAGCTGCTGTTGCTGTTTTTTCTGGCCTTCCTCACACGTGATTCCGAGCACATACGAATGCTCCTCTAGTCATTTTAACTGTTGTTGTTATTTATTGATCTTTACCATAATTCTAAAGTGGAAACAGTCAGTGAATTAAATAAAGGTAATAAAAGATTGCGGCTGGATGATGATAGTTTTAAAATAACTTTAGAGTGAACTGTAACAGTGACACCTGTCAAAAATACAACACCCGTGCTGCAGACACAGTGGGTCAAATCAATGCTTTTGAGCTTGACGTGGAACATAAGAAAACTAAGATGAAGCATTTTTCTGTTGTTGAGAATGATCTTTTAATCAGTGCAAAGTATCCTTTGCTACAAAAGTAAGCACTATCATAAATGCCTGACTTAGTGCAACAAAGTAAGATACATTTTGTGGGGTTCTAGCAGTATGAAAATGTTTAAAACCATTAAACTGATTAGTATAATTGCATTGAATACAGCAGCCACAATGGTGATTGCTTTCCGGATTAGGCTCTACAATTAGCCCGAACACACATTGTGACAAGGATGAGACACTGGAAAAAAAAAAGAAAAAGAAAAAAAAAGTCTGTACAGGAAAGAACTGAAGAGCTTTCAGGTATGATTACCACCCCTGCATGAGTTTATTCAGGTTCCACAGAGTGAATAAAGCCCTGGTGGAGCTTAACTTTGGCGAAAGACCTGTCATAGCATCGCAAAAAACTTTGTACAGGATGAGAGAATGTCTCAAAAGGCAACACCATAGGGGTTTCTACACAGTGCCAGTAAATGAATCAGGCACTTAACCATATAAAAGCTTTAGTGAACACCCTGCTGTGATCCATCTGAAGCAGCAAAGAGTGAGTGGTTGTTTTTCAAACAGTAGGAGGTGCTGTGTGATTCTAAATCCATCTTCTTGAGAGACTGAAAACCACCATTAGCTGTGTGTGGGTCAGAGTGCTGCTGGCCATCAGTCATGCTGATAGAGTTAAGGTGCATTGTTGGATATGACACCCCCATCACCCAGGTGAAGATACGGTGATTGCTTTCATACAAGTGTCACAAACAATGTAGTGATATAAACACAGTTAGCGGCACAGAAATCAATCAAAGCCCTTCCGCCCAGACAGGGTGTAGGTGTTTTACTGCCAGAGTGCACAGTAGGGAGAGAGCAAATTTTGCAGTAATTTTGGTTTAATTTTATTATCTGAATGCATTTTTAGAGGCAGTCACTCACACTAGGGATGTGCATCTGTGTTTGGATCATCTCTAATTTGTGTTGGTTAAGCGTGAACGGTTCGCATGTGTTTGCTTTGTTGCAATATAATTTCTATAATCAAGTAGAGCAGGAAATTAGATGGTGATCAAAACTCACAAAGGATCTGCACACTCTGTAATTGGCCAGAGAATACAGACGCCCATTTTCTTTGCTGAGCACAATGTATATTATTCTTGCTTGTCTGAAAGCATTCAAGCTTCAAAAACACTCCTTGTAGTAAAAAGTGGAGAAACAACAAGAGATGACACGGGGGCAACACCTACACTTGTTCAGCTGTGAAACATCTCTCTTCCTCTTTTCACTCCTTCCACCATTGACCCGGCATTCAGTGCCTCAGATTTCAGGGTTTTACTTATCTTTGTCTCATTTAATAGCAGGCAAAGAATTACAGGGCGGAGGGGGCTACATTTCTACTTTTGCCCAAGGCTCACAGTAAGTTCATCTTTCATTTAAGAAACTTCTGCAACAGCTTGATCTTCATGAAAGCTAAAATCAGCTTTGAATTGCTCCCAAGCAAGCAGCCACAGTCTGATATTTCTTTTCCCGTGTTTACTTATAAAACTTGAAAGATATTGCTAACAGAAAGTAAAAAAAAAACCTTCTTCTATAATTCACATGAGGAGATTGCCAAATCAACAGGTGTTTCTGAATCCTCAGTACCCTTTGACAGAATAAATCAGGCCCATAAGTAAAATACACACACCTGCACACATATGCACAGTGACATCTTAAAGTGTTTACTGTGCTGACATTGATTTGCATTTAGAAACATAAGGGTTACATATATTAGGAAGCAAATTTCCATACCAGTCCCTTTGATGATGTATAGCTTTGCTTTGAAGGCAGGATTGATTCAAATAATGCAGGCAAAGGAGACACTGGACAGAACAGATGGGAGTTTGAATACTAATAGGAGATCTAGCATTAAACAACATACAGAAAGGGTTATTATTCCTATCATCTGTAAGTACTTTCTTTTTTCCATGCAAATCCACACAAAGAGAAAGAAAACCCTGCATTAATGGAAAACTTCAATGATGCTAAGCTACCACGGGTTTCCACGTCTCCTTACATTTTGTTGAAATCTTCAAAGATGGTATAGGATGCACAGCAATACCAAGGTTTGAATAGTAAGCTTTGTTTATACAGTTTACAAGAGTAATTTATGACTACAAATAAAAACAATCAGAAAATGAAAAAACAGGAAAAGATATCCAGTTATGGCAGGGAGCTATATGAAAGATTAAATCATATGTTTATGTAATGAGAAGTTCAAAGCAGGAACTGTGCCCTCAAAGAAATCTACTGAGAAGAGGTTTAAGCTGTGTGTTTTTTTCTCACTTGAATCAAAGCTCAAACTGCAGAAAAACAAGCTATTTTCCTTGCAGTGTTACCTGTTTTCAATCTCCTGCCTTGACAAGTTACGGCTATTGATTTTCATATCAAATCCAAAGGTGGACATTTTTAAAAATTGTCCAGCAGCAAATTTCTTTTTTAATCGTAGATCTCTCACAGAGCCTGAGAGCTCAAGTTCAGTGTATTGTTTAGTTATCAATTCACAGACTTAGACAAAACCAAAGACCTGGACCATTGAGCAGGGAGAGCCTCTACCAGTTAAAGAATCAGCTATTTGTCCAGCAGGGAAAAAAATAAAAAAAGATAAAAGAGAATGTTCAACGTTAGTGACTCCAGATGAATGACGTTGCGCTCAGATAAGAGACTGTCTGCTTTTTAAAAGAAGATGAAAATATGTCAGTGTTGACTGGAAAACACTAACCTATATTTATAGTATATTTTGCTTATAGTCAGTAACTTCTGATGGTGCAGTACTGAGGTGGTGCTTTATTTCTGAGATGTTTGATATCAGCTATTGTAACCCGAACTACATTTACATCTTCATAAGATCTCTTAAATGTTTTCCTCACAGAGCATAAAATAATTATCTTAAACCACACGCCATGCTAAGGAATAAAAGTTAAATGTATCAACATGAAAATGTAATCTTTTTCAGACCTGACATTATCTCATTTCAAAGTAGCATTACGCCAGAATTTTTACTGAAGCTGCAAGGTCACACATCATGCCTCAGAATTTTCCAGTAGAATGTTGATTTGAGGGTGCATTATGAATGCCTGATCACGGTTAACGTGCCCTTGAACAAAACTAGTTTGCTCAAGACAGCATGTAGGCAACCTAAAGGCACATCTCCAGCTGCAAGCGTATTTCCCCACCTGTGGGTTAAGAGAGGTGTTACTCAAAAGTCAATTAAACATTTCAAATGCGAACACTTGCCCCGCTTGCCTTTCTGTGAGGAATTTTAAAAGAGGTTTAACGATGACATCATTACAGATGTGAGAAGAATTATAGGCTACCTGGAGGCTATGTCTGACACAGTCCTAAGTATAGTGTGTCATCTGCAGGTGTGCAATTGTGCAATGTGGGCAACATTGTGATGGTTCAGTTTCCAGTGTTGTGGTCGGACGCACCCTGTGGGCAGGAATGTGATATCCTAAGTATGTGGGAAGTTCTGGTTTTTATTTCAAAAGCATGTAAACAAGGGCATGAAAACTCAAAACTGCCCAAGTAGAGGAATGTGTAATTTACCCTATGAATACTTTATCATCACGGAACCTGAAATCACTGATGCAGACAGAATTTGAAGCAGGTCTAGTGATTCATCTTCAAACCATAGCTTGCTTTTGGACAAACATGTAGGAAATAAATTTTGAGTTTACCTTAGTGCTGGTATCACGTGTCTGGGCCTCAGTCTCCTGTTTCACATATGAACAGCACCATTAAACAGCTTCTGAACTTGTAATTCCAGTGAGGCGAAAAAAGTGATAAGACAGATGCAGTGAGGCAGCATGGGAAATAGAGCAAGTTTTTAGTTGAACCATGAAAAACCCTGTGTTTGTTGAGAATGGCATTACGGGAGATGTGCAGACCAGCATTCAATGCCCTCATCCAGGATAGGATCTTCGACAACAAACACCTACTTCCTTGGCACCACATTCGCACAAGGCCAGGCACATTTTGCTATACCAGGTATTCATCAGTGCAGACTATTTGCAGTGGCAATGTCATATTACAAAGGATGAAGACTCAAAATCTTAAATGTTTGTAAGTGTGCGGCTGACTACAGGAAACAAAAGAACATGTCAGAAATGTCCTACTGGAGAGCTGTTTAGTAACCCAGTTTGTGCCCATTTTTGTGCTCCTGGTCCTTAATTACTGAGGCCATTGTTTATTCATAAGCATGGTATTAACCCTTTGCTCTCCCATTCACAGTTTAACCAAATTGACCCCATTACATGCAGGTACATTGAAGGTTAACATGTTTCAAGCATTCAGCAGTGATTTTTAGGATGTTTTTGATCAGATAAGACCATTTTAGGGCTCTTGATCTGATTCAGATGTGAGAATTGAATGCCCCTTCAGAAAAGATTTCCAAGCAAAACCCTTTGCTAAAGGATGAGTCATTTTTTCCCAGGCCTAGTTTGCATGGAAACAAGACGACTCAAAACGTTAAGCGCTGATTATTGCCACAGACACAAGTCCAATGATTCATGGAGTGATTTCACTCAGTTAAAGGGAATTCACAGCCCTATTCAGGCATTGACAATGTTAATATTTGTGTCAGGAACTCACTGAAATGCATTGAATTAATAATATACATGTATAGAAGTATAAACTTATGATGGCTGTTATAAACATCTGAAAGAATAAAACAACAATTCTAACAAATAGTAAATGTATTTAAGTCTATGCTGTATACAAACATATCTGAGCCCGAGGGAAGTGAAAAAAGGATCCCCAAGCAAGAGTACACATTCCAGGAATGTGGACAACAAGAGGGGCCTTGTATGTCTATATCTCCCGCCCACCCTGTAGATTAGCCTCTTATCTGTTAAACGAGACGGTGCCGACAGATTTTGGTAACAGGACTTTGGCATCAGCGCCATGCTCCCTATTCTGAGAGCTCTCCTGTATCATGGAGAGTCCCTGTGCAACAGTTAGGCAGCACAGATAGCCTTGGACCAAGCAGTGGGTGGATATGTGAAGACACATAATAGGCAGCTTCAAATGCTGCTATTCCTCCTGCTTGAACACGGCACTTGTTTTTTATACATAGTAGCGTGTTTGGATTTTTTCTTTTTTCTTTTTTTTGTCTTTTATAACAATACAAAACATAATCACATCAACTCTTTCTGAGGGAACACAAATTGTGCCTCTGGAAAATACAACATTTTGTTTTAGTAAAGTCCAATGCACACCTTTACATTGAATTTTTCCCCCTATATTCAATAGCTAATTGCTGATTGGCCAATCACAAAGATAGGGTACTGAAAAAGATTACTATAGATGTTTTTAGCTGCAAGGCAAAAACACAAGTAATGCTTTTTTCACCTATTTATCGAGATATCTGGTTGCAGAAACAACAGAGGGGAGGAGGGGAGGGGACGAACAGTAGACTGTGAACTTTGTTGAATACAATCAGCTCTATTCATTCTGAGGCAGGTCTTTTCTTCTAGTAACAGCATTTTCTATTAGAAACGCACTGTGTTACTATGCTGATACATCAACATTATATAGAACAGATTGCAAATGGCAATTGCAAAAATTTTAGTGCCTACAAGGAATGTACATACAAATTCAAGTAAAAACGGGGATCAGGTTGAGCAATCCTTTTTTTCTGAATGGTTAAGTGGTGAGATAACTGTAGTTCAAAAGTTTAATAATTTGCATTATAAAATGACTACACATTAAGACACCAACTGACCAAGGGACTCTAAAAATCAGTGCACAAAGTAAGACAGGGAAGTATCCACTTTACAAATAAAACAAACAAAAAAATTCCAAAGCCAGGATTCAATTTATAGCCTCTCACATGTCACCTGGATAAAATCGTGGGTGTGATTCCAGTAGCCTTTGACTCATTCCATCTCAGTGAGAGCTGTTTCCATGCAACTAGAAAGCAATAAGACAGGCTGAAATGCATCACCCAGCTCTGACTCATGATTTGATCTGGTGTGAAGCCTAACCCAGGGCAGAAACTGATAGGTAGCATTACATTCACACCTGGGACCCAAATCCTAGTTTTTTCCCCATTTCTGGCACCCCCTAACCCAGGGCCTCAAACATCTATTAGGCAGCGGTGTTACACTGCACACTTGGCAGCCCAAGCCGGATTTTAGAGACAGAGCTGCCCACCACATCAGGCGTGGGGGCCAATCACCGTCAGGGCCAATGGACAAAACTGAAGCACATTCCTGAGACTTTACACGTTCTTGCAAGTTAATAAATCTCGCAGCCCTCTGAGGACAAGAAACACAAGAGGTTGATGATTATCTAGAGACCACAGAGGTAAAAGGAGAGGACACAGAGTCAGGTTACACCGAACAGGGTTGTCACTCTCAGAGGAACTGAACCCTTTCGGATATACAGGCCACAAATTGGTGAGTGTGACATCGGAGGTGACTATAATACAAAAAGGCAAGACTCAGAGTATACAGATATGCCTGCAGTCCTTTTTGTGGGATGCTAGTAAATACATGCATGTTCTTTTTATTTTTCTTAGAATTGATGGTAACTGCTGGAGGAAAGAAGGCGATAAATCGATTTATATATCAAAGATAGGCTGTCCAAGAGGTCTCAGTTGGATCTATATCTTGCTGGTTTTGCCCAGTTTAAGAAAAAATTAAATATATCTATAAGACTCTAAACAAACTGGTGGCATTATTATGACTACATCCAGATTTTACAAGCAATGTGTGGTAAGGAGTAATGAACCACTCGTGAGTTAGAGAACAGAATGGATAAGATGAAAATTTTAAATAAGTTAAAGTAAACTCTTTGATTACTTTACTGACTATGCAAGTAAACTCAGAAACAGATGAGACCTGTAACATGTTACGAGACCTATTACAGCTTATATTATATATTCAGAACTATTATATACCCAGATTTAATTGTGTAGTTGTCTGTTATAACCTCGTTACTGCATTGTTTCGTTTGATGAAAGGCTTTTCAGGTAACCGCTAAAGTTGTTTAGGACCCATGAGGGTCCTTTTGGCGGCTGGGTTTTAATTCGACATTAGCTCTCTATTGGGGTCATTGTGTGGCCACTCCATTTGATGATCATTGTATTTGCCGTTGTCCTCCGGATGTGCTGCAGAGCTAAATTAGGCCTGTTTGTGGTTGATAACAGAACAATTACCTAAGTCACACATGTCATTAGGGCCTATTCCTCAGACTTACATGGAGCATGAAGTCCATTCAAGATCTGTGTGTTTAGGCCTTAATAGAATTGCCCGATCTTCCACTGGTCGAATGTACAGAACTGTCCAATATTCTATAATTGCCTTTGGGGTCTCTGGTGGTGGATTAATTATGCAGTGTAATTTGCAAGATATCTGCTAACTTGCTTCAGCAAGACTGGGACGGGATTAATCACCACATAGAAATGTGCAAATATGACAAACTGCAACTATAGTTCACCATTTGGTTTTACACAAGATAAGCTGTTTGCTGAACAATCAGTTTCATTTCTCCATAAAGAAGATTTCTTCTCAGAGCAGTGATTTTCCAAATCTCTTTTTAAATAACAGACAACCACAAACAGAAACTGATTTGTTGATGCGAAACAGAAAAAAAGACACACTCCTTAATATTACTGCTACGTGGGGGACATAATGCTGACACAGATGCAGACCTAACCACATCTGCTCACACGTGACATGTCCCTAATAAATCCAGAAATATTTCTTGTTCTCTTTATACAGATGCTTTTCAAACTACTGCAAATCAGTGCTGTCTCGGAGAAGAACAATGAATAGTAGCAGCATACAGAATGTGACAAAAACAGTTTAAACCAGAGAGATCTATCCAGAAAATAGAGAAACCAGAGAGGATTGTTTCTTTTGCTACTGGGTAAAACCTAGAAGGATTGTCTGAAGTAATCTTCTGTTGTGAGAAAGATTGGCTCTATTAGGGTCTCGCTGCTCAGTTAACCCCCTCGGCAGTCCAGCAGACGGATCAGACCAACCCTTCTAATAAGTCACTAGCAAGAAAATGTGGGGAGTCAGCTGATTCCTAATCCTTCCTCTCTCTCTGTGCTCACACATCAAGACCCAGACTGATATGTGCAATCACATGAAAGCCCCTCTGCGGCGGGGCTATTATGGTCTAGTAGACCTGCTAGGCCTGTTATTTGTGCATGTTTTGGCAAAATGGGAGCCCAAAGATATATTTGTGATGAAAATCCCATCTGTCTTGAGTGTAAACAATAGGATGAGGGAACAGCAACTGCTGGTAAATGTACATATTTTCTTCAGCTGACACTGTTATAGTTTATGATGCACGAGCAGATGGCAAATTCAATTCTATTCAGAGACCATCATGAATTGAGAAAAATATCTTCATTACCCTTTGTACTTTGCATGATGGTAAACAAATATCTCTCTATCTATATAGATAGATAGATAGATAGATAGATAGATAGATAGATAGATAGATA